AGTACTTAGTCAAAGTACTTGGCCCCAAGTACGTTCTCTAAGGTTTAACGTGCTATACAGGCAGATTAGTAATTCACTTTGTCTAGATTGGAGACAGATGTGTAATGGTTTTGTTGATTGCGAAGGAGGTGAAGATGAAGCTGAAATGTGTGTAGAATTAGAAATGAATGAATGTAGCAGTAAAACAAAGTTTCGATGTAAAACTAAAGCGTATACAAATATTATTAGGTGGTACGAACATTCTCTTCTACGGCTCAAAACATTTTTAACGGTTACGATTATTTATCATTTAAAGGTTTGTTTCGTAGTGCATTCTTCATTTTAGAGAGTACAGCCTTTGGTCGTAAATATTTCTCATTTTGAGTAAACTGAGTGAAGGCTTCAATTTTACGAGGATATTGTGAACTGTAGGCTTTCTGGCTCTTGAAAATCCAATGAAACCTCTTGGAAACTGTTAAATATATATTTAAAAAATATGAATAGCGTAAATGATGACAAAAAAATGGACGACGATAAGAAGACGATATACGAATGTGACACGATAACTAGAAAACTAACTGTGAACTGTCCTATATGTATATAATATATGATGATGGAATTTATGCATATATGACAAAAGATGATGAAATCTCTAAGAAAAAGAAATGAATAGCCGGTCCTATCTGTACGAAAAAGTATTAGAGCATACTGCTCTAACAAACTGTCAAAGTTGAAATCAGGACAGACTGAAAGCTGAGCTCGTTATGCAAATTTTCGCTTAAACACGCGTTTCAACACTAAAGCCTTTTTTAAACTTAAAAAAATGAAAATTGAAAACTATTTCTACGAGATTGGACAGTGGTGCAGGTATACAGAACGAACGTCGCATACTATCCGGGCATAAAAATGCCATCTACTCCGTATGTCTACGCATAATAGATGAACAGTCTCGTGGTATGTGTATACAAAAGTCATTTGCCTACGATGGTGAAGTTGATTGTTCTGACCAAAGTAATGAACAAGGGTTAAGGATCTACTTTATATCATTGTTGAGCAGATATAAAATGTGAAGAAAATAATTGCGGTTGGCTGAAATTTTCATGTTCCTATGGAAAATGTCTGAAGGATTTAAGAATAAATAACGATTTTAATTATAGTAAAGATTGTGGTCTAATGGCTGGAAATCAATCAAAAAGTCTAATAAATTGAATTGTTTAAGTAGACGGGACTTTTTATATTTAAAAAAGGTTGTTTCCCGCTAGCCGTCAATTTTTCCCGTCAAGAATGGCCGCCCTTACAAATATAAAAATGAAAAGAACATTTAATTGATCAGTTTTTTGAAACCCAGTTCGTAGAAAAATCTATCAATCAAAACAGAGAAATCGGTCTGCAATGGAAAGGTTGACTCTGTCTGTCGCAAAAATTAGCATCTTTTCTCATTGGTTTGTACCATTTCGTGAGAAATATAACGACACTCGTTTTTATTCTTTTCTCTTAAGAATTAATTTCTACTTCATATATGTTATCACTGACTATTATATGCAATACTATTTTCCAATGTTCTGTACCATAATAAGTATATAGTTACATAAAAGAACATGAGGGCACTTCTTGTGATATAAAGGAGGACTTTCTGAACGGAGTGTTCAAATGACAGCATCGAAAAAAACAGTTGCGTTGATCAGAGCTTAAATTTAATGTTAGAATGTGGAAAAGTCTTTCTCATAATTGAGTAGTTGTCGTTTGATTAACTGATCTCGCTGTACTCCAGCGGCCTGGAACAGAAACGCTGGAGCACGTGTTGTGAGTAGACATGTGCGGTAACGGTAAAAATGTGTTGCCGTTATCGACGCTTCGGTGACAACTTCAAATGTTTACCGCAGTAAACTTCGGTAAAAATCTTTGTTACCGTTACCGCTCATGCCTAGTTGTGACAGGCATTTATCAATCAATTATCTAAAATATTAAAAAGGAACAAAAAGTTTATTTAGGACGATAACCATACGCAACCCTCGAGGTTCGATCCACTGACCATCCTCATCGCTCTCCACGGAGCTAAGAGTCACTTAGAAAAAATTTTCTAAGTAGCTCCATAGTGGAAACGGGACCGTTGATACAGATATAAGGCTGCACAAATTCCACTTTTTCACATATACAGGAAATATGATGACTCACTGATGAGTCATCATTTCTGTTGTCATGCTAACCCAAAAATACTTTTTGCAAAAGTTTAGGCAAAAATCACACGCAGCGTAATGTAAAAATGATTCTGCGATAAAAGACAAAAACCTATCGGCTTTTTCAGTGGAAAAATACAGCGCGAGAAAACGCATATTAGAATAATGCGTTTTCTGCTGTTGCGTTAGTGTGTCCCAAAATGTGCCGAAAAACGCACATTTGAACAGAAATCGTGAAAAAGTTTGACATGGGAGGTTTCGTTTCGTTCCTACAGTCAAATGGAAAAACAAAATGAGTCGTTTCGTATAGAGTATTTCGTTCATTTTCAATATTATTGATATTAGAGGCTAGAATTGTCCAACTATCGTCATGATTATGTGAAGGATTATTGTTTTCTTGCTGTCTATTATCCTGTATCAACGATCAGATTTTTTATCTGAACGCTCATCCACGAGGATTTTGAATAGTAGATTCTTTTGTCCGAGTAAGAGATTCTCTTTTTTGAGAATTTCATATAAATACGGTTTTAACAATCGATCAATCTTTACTAGTTCTTTTAGATCTCTTATTGCCAAATTACCGCTTTGATCACATCTTCGAGCACGTTCGTTGAAATGCTAGAATGTTGTAAAATCTTTCCAACAGTATTCGAATTTAGCGCAGGAAAACCAGAAAAACAGACATGGCACAGTGTGCATTTTTCGCATAGCAGGCGAGCATGCGACTTTCCTGCTTGAAAACGGATTTATTTTGCTCAGAAGTGATTTTATATCACGCAGAAAATCATTTTTTCGAAAAAAAACTTTCGACCAAAAAGGGGGCACCCTTATCCAGATGTTTTTGAAAATTCTTTTTATTAAAAACTGTTTCGTATTATATACCATTCGACACGGTTTTATGCGCTGATTCCAAATATGTCATTTATATTGAATGAAAATCTTTCTGGATCGAAAATAATTCGAAAATACCTGAAAAACCGAGGGTTTTTTGGAAAACCGAGGGTTTTTTGGAAAACCTACCATCCGATCCAGGAGCATCGGCGCTAATTGGCGCTAACCGTGTAGATATGTCATATATCGGACAATATTCCCTAATAATTTCATCAAAATTAGAGCTTCGCTAAAGCACGCATTGTAGCAAACACGCCTCCTCGGAAAATATGCTAGAAAAATGTCTTCATTTTTTCTCCAATTTAGAAAGTCCAAAAATAGAGAATTTTTTTACCAATCGATAGCGCACTTCATGCCGATTCTGCATATATGTTTGTTTGTCTAACAGGTATGTTTGATTTTTGCGTATATTTGCGAATAATCCGATTTTCCTATGGGCACTTTTTTCAGTGCATTCTTGTGTATAGGATTTTCCCAGCTTAAATAAGTTCTAGGACAACAGTTCTTTTGACATTAAATAGAGCGTGTTTCAAAGTCTATTTATCACCATTAAAATCACTGAAAAATCAATTTTCATTTTTTCACCAAAAGCCGGTCTGGATACACACTGTGCATGGGACATTTTGAAAATCTCAAAACTGTTCTTAGAAAACAAAAATTTATCAGAGCAAGATTTGCTTTCGATTACTTGAACCACAGGTAGTAATAAAAGGTTTCATGCTAAGCATAAACTTAAGTTTCATGTGCAGAAATTCTCTTTTTTTCCAACGAAGAACCGGTTGGATATAAAAAGAATAAGAAATGAAAGTACAGTCGATCGAGTTTTAACTTTTTTGTTCAAATAGAAATAAAAACAATCAATCACAATTTTCTCGGTTTAGCGCGATCTAGTTGCGATTGTTAAAAATTTTAAATATTTAAAAATAGCTTTAGCCTGCACTTATTCTTTGGATTCTGATCGGTATATAGGTGCATGATCTCTCTTCTCTTTAGCCTGCCGTTCCTTTACGGTCGGAGTCGCCTGTTTCCGTCTACCATTTACTTTAAAATTGCTCTATTTTCAGAACGCATTCCGGCCCCACCTTAGATCATCTTGTTTAAATGAAGGGATTACATCTTAGGCCCAAGGTGTGGGATGATAAGCTTTTCTATCAAGACTTTCAAAGTCTTGTCTAAAAATTGATGATTTATTTCCAAAAAAACCGTAGTTGGGGAGGGCGGTTAACTATTCGAGATCAGCGCGTTCGATTATGTTTTACGGTATATCGAAGATCGGTGTTCAAGTCAGATACACTACGAAGCTTTTTCTGAAAAGCTTCACAGTCAGGAATAAGTTTTTAAGGAAAACTGATAGAACGTAAGGTGTACATTTCCTTAAAAACTTATTCCTGACTGTGAAGCTTTTCAGAAAAACATTCGTAGTGTATCTGACCTGAAAATTCTATTTGGGTAAATACACTCTCAAAGTTGATTTTTTCTTGTCTCGAATTTATTGTACTCGATTCATCTTTTTTGAACGAAATCATTACGCTCATATTGTTTCGAAGCAGCTTTCTTCGTCGTTAATCACAACGGTAAGAGTTTGAACTTGATCAAAGAAATAAGCAAAAGCTCAAGAAGACTACAAAATACAGGAGCGCAAGATTGCAAGACGCGTGATTTAGAACATAGTGTGAGAGTTATTGGTATCGATGGTGAGAAAATGGTTTCAACTTATCTTCTGTAGTCTGAAAACAATTGTTTCTTGATTTTGAATCAGACATCTTATGTCTCTGGTGGAGATTAATTAAAAATTCTTGATGTTTCTGATCACAAAACTTTTTGAGGCTACAAAACTGAGGGAAATGGAAAATGATGTAAGATTTTAACACTGCCTAGAACTTCAAATTACTGATAGATTTGACAAGACCAATAGTGGACATTGTGAAAACTGTCTCACCTTGCAACACAGTGTTATGTCCAAATCTTGTTCAGAATCCAAACGTCGAGCGTATCAATAATAATATCCTGATCAGTTGCTGATGCATCATTGACATAAACTGCCAAATTTTCTGCACTGTCTTCTTCCGGATAAACACGAGCGGTAATTGCCACACGACCACCTTTTGGTTCAAAAACTTCGATCACCGAATGATCGACATAAATATGCAGTCCAAGAAACCATTGGCTATTCAACGATTCCGACTTCATCCAGATTGTGCCATAATGTGGTGAACGTCCTGCCGCCGGATTTTGTTGTGATAATGATCGATTGATGTAGATCCAGACAAGTTGTTGATTCGTTTCTCGCTGTTTTACACCTGAAGTGCACGCCGAGTTTGTCACTAAAAGCGGTATGCCCGATTTCATAAAACAATTATCGTTTATTTTTTTGCTGCTGTCAAAGGTCCATGAGTGACATTTGATATCTTGATCACAACTGCGTTGACAAGCAGTCGAATTATTAATGGCGGGCACACTAAAATAATCCCATCCCGGCACATCCCAATTGGGCATGAAGCTGGTGTTGACTCTCGTTATCACACCAATACTCGTTCGTTGGCGACCGTCTGCTGTCGAAAGAACACTCAATCCAAAATCCAAATTCTTCAAAAACAAAAGCGACAGAGTGGTCTATTTATATAAAATGTACGAATAGCTATTTACTTGATTCCCTGGAAATTGCCAGTTAATTATCAGTTCGATCTGATTTCCTTTTATATCAGGAACTAGTTCGAATGGGACGACCGATGGTAAAACTATATTGTGGAAAGATCGGTGACTCTTTTCATCTCGTAGAATTTGCAAAGTTTCTATTGGATGTGAACGAAGTTGCAATCCATCGTCGGAGAGAAAAATAGACCGTGGTAGTGAAAGCAACCCTTGCCAACCTCGTTGTTCACCTTGATTGTCATCTTCAGATATCCAACCGACGATCACTTGTTGATCGTGAATGGGATCATAGAATGATTTGGATGCATAGAATTTGCCTTGATCGACCAATTGTGTATATTCACCCAGATCACCGGCAAGTGGCACAAATACTTTTTTGACTGGATCTAGCTCTCCGACAGCCCAAAAATCTTGTCCGCGTAATGATGCTTTCATTACGACGCGGTTGGAAACGTTGAAAATATCTGGACATTCCCAAAAGTTATCATAATGATTGCTGTGAATCGGATGTAGATAAGTCCAATTCGTAAAATCTCTGGAAGTGAATAAAACTGCTTGACCACCCAGTTCATCTGTTCCAAATCCATAAATCAAATAATAGTTATTCTGATCATCTTGAAATGCTGTCGCTGGATCACGTCCGTTCGGATTGGTGATTAGAGGGTTCATTGGAAACTTGATCCATTCGGTCATAGTCGGATCTGTAGCATCAGCTGGACGTGCTTGGCATTGTACTTCTTGATTATTTTCATTAATTCCAGTATAGATAATGACTGGAACATCATCAACAATTGTTGTACTGCCAGTCCAGATGCCATTTATATCATACGGTTGATCAGGTGAAATGGCTATAGGCAAACGTGTCCAATGAACCATATCTTCACTGTAACCGTGACCCTTTAAAGAATAAATAATCAGTCACATAACATCAGAAATCATTAAATGTACTTAATCTCACGAACCCAATACTTTAATCCCGATGTCGAAGAATTTGGAGTATATTGAAAGAACATATGATAATAACCCTTGTAAAAAACGGGACCATTTGGATCGTTAAGCCAATCGTTAGCAGGCATTAGATGATATTGTGGATGGAATCGATCATCAGCTTGACTGATACCGACAATTATCATGAAAGACACAAACAAGAGCATTGTTGTTAGTATATATTGCGTATGTGTGTGCTTGTTGTGCACCTTGTTAAATATAGTTTTATCTTGTTATCTTTCGTCTCACCATTGTTTGATCAAGAGCATGAATGTTGATGCAGTTAGTAAAAGTCGCTTTCTGACAGGACCGAGTTAGGCCATAACATGATGAAATTTTACTTTTTTGGAACTTACACCATTCGGTTCGCCATGAAAAACTGCGATCTGATACATACGCTGACAGAAAAAAGCAGAGGCAAAAACGCCAACCATTGTCAAAATGCACTTTCTGTGGCGGCATCTTAGATTTTTGAAAGGGCAGTGTCGATAAACGCCCTTTTTATACATAAAAAGAAGTTCCCTGTCACACTGTCTAGTTTGTTTATAAATAAAATTTGTCGTAAGCCGTAACAAGCTCGTCATTAGCGGGTATTGCCATAGAACCGAACAATGTAATGGTGATTATTTGAATCTGTTCTGTTTCATCCTTCTCTTTGCTGAAAAGAAGCCATTTCTGTCAGTATGAGCAAAACGAACTGTTTAAAAAACTATATATTCACACTACAAGAATCAAAATGTGTAAATGACACATACAAAGTGAACGATAAAGTTATTCTCAGTGATCGACTAGAATGCACAGCGTACTTGTGTAAAATACACATTGAGAATGACCGTATAGCCTGCACACTGAGAAGAGTTATTATTAAACTAAGAATTATTATAGTTTAGTTATTAAGTTACTTAAACTGAAAGTTATTCATATTCGCTGAATGATTGTTTGAATGCCGCATATGACAATATTCTTCTGCGCTATTTTTTTATCCGTTTTTCCTGAAAATTACAAAATATATACTTTCAAAGACAGTAGGGGGCTATACTCTAGTCAATTTTATTTTAATTTGTGACTTTGACAGAATGTAAACAACGTACACAAGCTGATCAGCAAACACTGGCAATGCAGAAACACTCTAACACGACAATTACGCTCGTCGTCCTTGAGAAAATTCTCGTAATCTGCTATAGTCTACAAGTTTACCTTTTGGTAGTAGTTTTCTATTATTTACTGATTGCCGTAATCCGTAGATACGATCAATTCTTAAATGATTTAACATAGTGGAAGGACTGATTCTGATCGTTCTTTTTTTCTTTCTTTTCTCTCTCTCTCTCTCTTTCGTTCTGAGTCAATTGTTCATCCTGTGATTATTCCAGAGATGGGAGAAGGTACAAAGTTTGTCCCGAGATCTTTTTAGCTATGAAAGAATAACACTGATAGATGACTGCTGTTATTTTTTTACTGCCTTTACACCTTTTACTCCCTTTATTCCTTTTAGTCTTTTACTCCTTTTAGTTTCTTACTCCTCTTACTTCTTTTATGATCTGTTCGAACGAACAGTGACCGCGATCATTTTTTTTATAACTTTTTAATGAAACAAAATGAAGACTTGCGACTTCCAGTGACTTATAGCCAGGAGCTGATAGTATCTTCCTATGTATAAATCAATCGTACCAATGAGGTCTATCATGGTGTATCTGATCGATGTTCCGAAGGCAAGACTGCTGGTCTCTAACTTTTCATACAAGCCTAATGTTTGAAAATACGTCTGTGATCGAGCAACATTTGATCTACATATTTGTCAAAACCCCGACAGCCCAATCTGCGATCGTTCTGGCAGAAACGTAGCTTGCCTGAGAAGCCTCAGATTTGGATTTTCTTGATATTTATAAATTTGAAAACGCATGAAAACACAGGTTATCGATAGCGCAGAGTCTCGTGGCAACATTTGTTTTTCCGAGAAAAGTTCAAAAAACTAGTGAAAATCTATGTTAGGTGAAATAACGTATTTCTGCCTACTTTCGCGTAAAATCAGAAAATCAGGAAAATGTTCTACTACTTCGGAAGATTCCCAGAAAACCTTTTGAAAACCCAAGTATTTTATACTGGTTTTTAATATTGAGCTCCATGATGTGCTGCAGGAAAAATCCAGTGTGTCTTATAATAGTGTACCGGGTGTATATTATAACCTATGTTTTCATGCGTTTTCAAATTTATAAAAATATCAAGAAAATCCAAATCTGAGGCTTCTCAGGCAAACTACGTTTCTGCCAGAACGATCGCAGATTGGGGCTGTCAGGTTTTTGACAAATATGTAGGCCAGATGTTGCTTGATCACAGACGTATTTTCAAACATTAGGCTTGTATGAAAAGTTAGAGACCAGCAGTCTTGCCTTCGGAACATCGATCAGATACACCCTGATAGACCTCATTGGTACGATTGATTTATACATAGGAAGATACTATCAGCTCCTGGCTGTAAGTCACTGGAAGTCGCAAGTCTTCATTTTGTTTCGTTAAAAAGTTAATCGATCATGCTGAGTCTTGTGGCCATATTTGTTTCTAGAAAAAGTTCTAAAATCTATCCAAAAGCGAGTTTTATGAAAATTTGGGTTTTCAGGCTGTTTTCACCTATTAACAAAGTCACTACTCACTCAATAAACATCAGAACGGGTTCAAGACTTCAGAATGTGGACCATTTAAGCGATTGTATATCCTATTTATAGGAGATCTTAAAAGAGAGTTTACAAACCCTAAGGTCTTCCAAAAGGGTTTCTGGAAAACCCATTAACGCAAATATGCTTTTTTGAATTTTTCGATTTTATAATCACGTTTAGCGGAGAAAATTGACCATATTCTGATTCCTGAGAGCCTGATTTCTGAGGCTCAGACTAAATTGCCGGCCTTTGCAAAGCCTTTTTCAGGTTAAACTTGATCAGAAAATTTCGTTTGACTGATAGAAGAGAATTTGATGTAGATTTTAGTCATACATTTCTTGTGAAACAAGTATCTGCCGTTTTTTGATAGTATTAGAAGTGCTGAAAGCCATTAAAAGCAGAGTTGTTCAACTGAAGAATTAGAAAGTTTTGAAAACAAATTTTTTATTACTCAGATAAGTGTAAAAATTTGATTTTAGTAATGAAAGATGCAGACGTTTTTTTGTCATTCGTCCCATGAGTTGACTGCCTTTGATAATCAATAACGAAGTTGCCATATTTACTTATAGAATGAAAGACGTCAAAAGGCTGAAAAAGAGGTATCTTTTGTTTCTACAACCTTAAATATCGTTTCAACATTTGATTTTGTGCCTAAACTATTAAGGCTTGATTCTAGTTTTCAATGTCTTGTTTAAATCCAGCAGTAAAACTATTTTAACCACTAAAAATTACACTTGATTTTATGCAAAGCGCTGAGCAACAGTTTCTTATGGCTTTCAGCACTTCTAATACTGTAGAAAAACGGCAAATACTTATTTCGAAAGGAATTTACGACTAAAATCTGCGTAAAATTCTGTATCTTTCGGCAATAAAAAACCAAATTTTTTTGATCAATCCTAACCTGAGACAAAAGTCTTGAAAAGACCGGAAATCTCATCTGGACCTCCCGTTATACTATGCTTCAGCGTTGTAACCGGCATACCGGTCTGCCCGGTCCGGTGCAAAAGTTAAGACCGGCCGAGAAAGATATTCAAACCGGCCGGTGATTGACCCTTTTTTTGCCGGTTTTGAAATTCTTAGCATTTTTCTCTTTTTCACTAAAACAAAATAAGTTTTTCTACTCATTTGTCCGTCTAGAAAATATTGGGAAACCCGCCGGTTTTTCACCGATCTAAAAATTTTTTGAAAACTGACCGTCTTTTTGCTGCTTTTTAACCAGTCTAGGGAATTTTTGAAAACTGGCGGTTCTTTTACCGATTTTTCATCAGTCTAAACCAATTTTTGGACAGGCCGGCCCGGTTCGGTCTCTTATTGTTTGACCGGTTACACCTCTGCTATGCTTCTATTTACACAAAAAATATGATGAATTCCCGTTTAAAGTCGTATTTCATACGAAAAAATAAGAAAATAGACCATTATTGTAAAAGGATGGTGAACTACCAGCGTTCATTAGTATAAAAGTAAATGTTTGTAAAGTTTTTGATTTTGATGAGTAATAACGACCCATTATATACCTTGCCACAAGGAAACTATTTTCAACTTATTCTACATTATCGTGATTAAATATAGTAATTATTTAAGAGACTGAAAAAAACTGAATCACTAGTTCGATGGTTTCCAAGTATCACCAAAACCCGATTTTGTCCCAAATCGGAAGGTAAATCGTCCGGGACTGGAATTAATTATACCTTGAGGATAATAATATCGAATAGCTCTGGCTAATTTATCGTAGGTCATATCGTTTCCACTATTCCTACCCTTGACGTATTTCCATAATTTAGCAATAACATGTGGCTGATGAAATTTAAATATGCCTGCATTTCTATCAGTATAGGTTGCTAAATGATGGTATGATGGTTTATCAAGCAATTGTCTTAGAAATTCGTGCAAGTGAGGTCGTCGTTTACGTTTTGTTATATCATCTACTACTTGCCATTCAGTAATATCAATTAACTGTGATGGTGTTTTTGAGGATGTCACTAGTTCAGAATATTCAGCGAGATTTGGAGATGTTGGCAAAGAATGAGAAATATAGGACTTCTCTGTTATTTCGTTTGATTGATTTTGAAATAAAATAGTTGGTATCGAAGATGTAGTATTTATCAAATGGTCATGTTGTTTATCCATTTGTTGCAATTGCTGTTGTACAGTAACTGTAAGAGTATTCTCATCTATCATTTTAATTGGATTTTTGCTTACGAAGTCAGGTGTATCCATTGTATTTGCATTTTCACCAGAAGTATCAAGAATTGATAATGGTGTGAATGATTTTATCATATCAAATGAATTTGGTTGATCATCATCTATAGAAAACTGAGAATGAAAATCATTTTTATTAAATGGGGACACTTGTCCATAAAAATCAAGAAGTTCGCATATGTTTTCATCCATTGAATTATCCGTTATCTCCTTTGGAAGATATTCCGTTATATTTTGTTGATACGAATAATTGAAATCTGTATTTAATAATGTCAATAATTCTTGTTGAGTTTGAGATTCGGGAATTGATTGTTGATTCGTAGAAGGATATTTTATCGTGAGCATTCTGTGTTGTATATACAAAATAAAGATACCTTTGAAATAATTTACAAATAGTTTGTCTTGTATATCTAGACTAAGAGTTTTCTTAGAAGAAAAAATAATGATGGAAAGAAAGAAAGAAAAAAAAAATACTATATAAATGTCATGACAAATACTATAGACTATGTTGGTTTTTTCTAAACGTGAATGAAATTGGAACACCTATCATTATAACTGTTTACAACCATCTTAGAAAGAGAATGCGACAAACATTTACATATCATATACAGAAGAAGAGAAGAAAAAAAAAGGATAGAGAAAAAAATTGTGACTATATAACGGAAACAATACAAAGAACACCGAATGTATGAAAAATAAAAAATAAATGCCATTTTAATTAAACAAATTTTTTCTACGAAAAATCATGATTCAATCATGAACTTTATTCTTGCTTATTTATCATTTTTTCCAAGAAAATAAATAATAAATAGATTTTAATTCAATATCAATATACAACAAACATTAAGTTTCTATTCGAAAACATAAGAATAAAAATAGTATCATAGTATTGCATAATTTTAAACAGTTTGTGTTATACTCGAAAACAGAAAGAATATTTTATTTATGATAAAAGAGATAAGTTTTAGATATTATAATTTATCATTCAGATTAGAGTGACAGATTTAACACAACATAGTTCAAATTGTAGAATACATTATATTTTTAAGTATTTTTAACAAGTAATTGATCTATTCTACTGTCATATTAATTGTTCTCTCACAAGATAGATACGATTTGCACTTCTTTCTCTTGTATTTTTATTCAGATAATGAAAATAAGAATGAATACCTAAGTTAACAGAGATCTAAGTTAGTCTTTATACATGTTTAATATTGAATGATTATAAATGTGTTTTTGACTAAATAGTATGGACTTTTCTTTCTTTCTTGTTTTATGTCTAGATAATAGACTTTTCTATTCACTATGGTCTTAGTAGAGGTGAGAAATAGATAAAAAATCAGAGTCTAACATTTCACGGTTGAATTAATATAATATATCATAGTGTGTACGTCCAAGTTAGGGTGTTTTATAGTAATTGAATATTTTATTCCAACATAATATTTTTAATGATTTCTTGAAAAGATACAATGTATTCGTCATTTTGGCAAAAACCAAGAAAGGTAAATAAAAGCTGAAGGAAAGAAGAAGAAAAGAAAGAAAGAGAAAAAGAGATCGGGAATGTAACAACAGGGTACAGTCCCCTGTTAATGAGTCAGTTTCTAAAAGAAACGATTATGTGAGTCATTAACAACTTGATCTCCATTTCTTGTCAGAAATACCAAATTTTCACGAAAAGCCATATTGGACCAAGACATCGAGTAGCTCACGATGTCTACTATAAGGATTTGTAATTATTTCGTATTCATTGAAAGTAGTATAAAAAGCTTTTCAAATGGTTTTCTAGAAATAAAAGGTGTGCTTATTTGATGAAAGTCATAAAATATTTTTTTCTCACCAAAATAAAACGTCTTACAACTTGGATGACGTATTGATTAAACGTGACAAGACTTTTGTTACAAGGTGTACAACATACATTTGACACTGGTTTCATTTTATATCAAAAGTGATGATCGCTGTTACAATATTACGATTTGTCAGAATACTTTACCAAATCAAATATTGTAGAGCGTAGATTGGCTTTAAATTACCGAAGCACCAAATATGCATTGAGCATCACCCGATGCATTCCAGTCATTAGTTCACTGATCAATACATGTGGATACACATAAATGTTTTTCTCGATATAACTAGGTAAATATTATCCGTCAATTGGTATTTGCATTGGTGCAGATGTATTGAACTATATATCGATCAACGCAGCTAGTTAACTTAATGATTCGCTTAGAACATTTAGCTAAAGAGAAAATTATATAGACTAATACGTCAACTAAAGCATTAGGATATTTAGCTGGAGCATTTTTGCTCGAGTGGAATTCAACATATGTGGCTAGAGATTACGAGAATGAGTCAAATTCTTGCATTTAGTTTTTTATCTAGGTTTTCCGTAAGGAGTACTTTTCTGAATATGTTAAGCAGCGCTTTTTAAGCTCTTCGCTTTTCAAGCCGCTTGCCGTTCAAGGAATAAAACAATAAACAACTGGTTTTATTAGTTTTAGCAACATTGTTTTTCCTGGTTTAAAGTCAACTCAAACTCTAATGCACGTAATCTAGTACCAAAATAAATAACTCGTATTGACCGCCGTTTCCTAAAACTCTGATCCAGATCGACGCGAAACTGCTGGAGTTTAAAGAATTGTGTAGCCTAAAAGTATAAAAAAAGAGCGATATTTTTCTTTTATCGAAAAGCCATCTGACCACAAAGGACCACAAAGAAGCACATCTCAAGTCACTCGCTTCTTTCCTTCAAGGCTCGTGCTTTTATTCCAGATTCAGTTGATCGAGACATTTTGTTCAACTACAAAGTGGCTGATAGAATGTACTTGTAGTTATCGCATCAAAATTTTTCCTTAATAATGTCTAGTAGCAGACTAATAAAAATGAAACTACACATAGAGCTCCGAAGCACAGATGGTTAAGTCTTCTGAGCCGTTTGATTTAATTCATGTCACGTTGCATTCCCGAATGAGGTTTGACATGATCTTCAGACGTTCATCTTAAAATAGAAAATGAGTTTTAATTTTACATAAAATTGCACCATAACGCGCACATCTCTGAGGAAACATGATTCTTCTACTGAAACCCTCGCATCTATCACTTGCCAAGTCTTCTATTTTTCAATTCAGTCTATTAGGATCTCAGTACCAGTCCTCTCAAGATCTAAATTTGCAGCCTCAGCCCTATAAGTATCCGCTGAGGTTAGGCATGCAGCAATCCCAAACTAGGAATCGCTAATCGGCACCGAACGGTTTGTTACCGAACATGCTCCGTCACCAAACTGTTCGCATCCGAAGACGTTCGGTCACCAAACGATTTGTTACCGAACGGTTCGCTACTGAACATGTGCGCTGCCGATCAGCGAGCCCTAGCTTGGAATGATTGCATGCCTGATCTGGACTAAAGGCAAATTGCATGAAATCGAAGGTTTGAAGGAACTAACTCCAAGCCATATACTTCATTCGGCGCAGATTTTCTCGTCGATTCTGAATATGTAACTCTTGTTCAGAAATATCAAGGGAAAATTTATAAGTGGACCTTTATAAGCCCCGGCCCTTTTGGACTTCGGTTTTTTATACTCAGTTCTTGATGGAGAATGGAGAAAAAACTAGGCTTGGAGTTTCAGAAAAACAACAGGTATGAAGATCATTTCCTTATTTTTGAAAATTTCACAGTTTTTTATTTTCAGAAAACGGTTATTTTTAAATTTTTTCACCAAAAAATGACTTCTTAAAATGTGGGATTGTATGCAAGTCGATGAGCTCTATCCAATCATGCCAAAAAAAGCGGAAAACAAATTCTTGCTGTAAGTTTGAATTATCGGTACCTTACATGAACAGTCTATTTTCCATCTCATTAATG